TAAATTAAAAGAATATTTTTAAATGAATGTTGTGTTAACAGAAAAAAATGATTTTCAAATTTCGAATTGATAGCATGTCTTGCAGATCACTGACGTAAACTAGATGATTTAATATTCGAATTTCAAGATAGAACCGAATCAAAAGATCTGACACTTTCACAATAAAACTACTCTCGTTAAGATCATCGACATTCGTAAAATCAGTTTTTCTGTAACTATGACATTCTTATATTGAAATTTTCCTTCTCTAGGAAAGACCCTTTCAGAAACCTTCATTATAAGATTTCCATCGAAAGTTTTATCCATAGACAAGTTTCAGACACAATACAACATCCTAAAGGTTTTAGCTTAACCAGTAAATAAAGAAGATTAATAATTGAAATTTTCTTTACAATAAATATTTACTATTTAAAAGAAGTTACCTCTTGTGTACATTGAATGTTGATTTAAAATAATTAAGTGTTTCTCTTCCAAATTTTCTTTGATAAATCTTGTGTAGAAATAAGACTTAAAACTGATTTCATAGACAATAATGATCATTTCTGATGAATTTAATAAACTTTTATGTATTTGATAAGATGAACGCATTAATTCGAATAATTTCCAAAAGTACCTAATTATGTATGATTAACTTTTTTAACTTTGTCTGTGTTTGATGTTGTTGATGAATCTTTATCATTCTCTTTAAAAAGAAAAACAAATGAATTCGTTCAGACGAAACATGATTACATATATTCTTCAAACCTAACGCTTTGGAACTCCTTTCTTCTTTGAAAACTGAAGTATCAACTATATTCTGTCCAAAAGAATGATGATAAAATAGTTCAATTTTTCGAATTACTTGAATCATTTATGCTACTTTCAAAACATTTTTTCATTTGTTGAGATTTGATAAATCTTCAAATAAAAAGAAAGAATTCAAAAAGAAAACATTATAAATATCTTTTTTTTCTCTTTACTTGAAAAGATTAAATTCTTAAGATCATGTAATATAAAGGAATGTTTAAAAAAATTTATAAATAAACGAAGTTCATCATATTGATTATGAAAAAATTGGTCGAATTGTTGTTGGTCTTAAAACATTTGAAAGAACATAAATATTTTCTAAACATCCAACCTATATAAAAGACAAAAATGACAAACAATTTGTATTCGAGTTGATACTTGAGCTTGTAATGAATGATGAATTTTATATATCCATTGGCATGGTAAAAATGAATTGTGATCAACAAAACCTTAAAATCAAAAAGTAGCTAATAACTAACTTAATGCAATAAAATCGACTTATTCATCCAAATTCGAAAAAAGCTACGTAATTATTATCTCTACAAAATACATACTTAGCAAAAGTCGAAGCAGTTGCTTGATGAACACGTATATCAGGGTACTGTTGTTTTAATTGTTGTTGTTGTTCAAGATAAGTTAATATTCGAAAATCAATATCATCTATAAGTTGAGCTAGACTAACCTATTTTATATACATACAAAAAAAAATTATCATAATCATAAATTTCTTTTATCTACTTTAGCAAGAATACAGGAACTTGTAGTATGTTGAATAGAATCTTTTAATAATTTAATTTCTATGATTGTAAATGCATGACTATTAATTAATAAAAAAAGGTAATAATGTTCGTAAAGCATTTAGTGAAACATGTATAACACGTGCATTATTATCATTAAGACATATAACCTTGAACTGTCTTGTGAATCAGTTGATACAAGTGAACATTGTTTAATAAATGAATTTGATAATGATGATAGTGTTAAAAGATGAATTGTTGTTTGAATTAATGTAACAAGTAAATTTGCACATGCACCACGTAAATGTAGATCACCGTATTCACATAAAGATATGTAATATCTTAAAGAAAAGAAAAACAAAGATACCTTGATGTTCGATAAATTGTAATGTATTACAAGTCATATAGAGGTGTAAATTTCATTTTTTCCTTTAGAGAATTCAATTTTAATTACAAAATTATATCTAATCAGAAATCTTCAAAGACTAAAGAAAAACTCCTTAGAGGATACAATTGATTTCAAATCTCGAACTTCGGCTTAGAACTATTTTTTGAGGTAGTTATATGATTGTATAATTTCAATCTCTGTTGTATAAATGCAGTCTCTGAGCTTCAATAAAGTGTTCTACTTGATATCTTTTCGAGTCTGATAATGTTCTAGTCTTTTGTTGGTTTCAAAAAAATTAAAAATAAGAATAGGACTAGAGCTGCTGAATCAATATTCAGAAATCTCCGTTCTTGAATTTTCAGATTCCAATATATATATATGTTTCAACAATTTAATAGTGAAATTGTCATATCTATCAGATAACTTTCACTAAAACTTTGAGACCTTAACCAATTGAAGCCACGTCAACTAAACTCTGCCACAATCCCCTTCATCTAGGCCCTCCTACTGTTACGACATTA